TGCAGGATGTCTAAGTTTCTTGCCACATGTGCCTCTCCATCAGTCTACTTGAGTGTCCTTGAAACATGGCAGCTGGCTTTCCTAAGAGCAGATGATTCAGGAGAGCAAGGCAGGAGCCATGATATATTGTATGGCTGAGCCTTACTCCTTCAGATGGACAGTGATTCCCACAACTGGGGAGGGCGAGGTGACCCCTGTGCGGGAGTGAGTCACCGCCGCAACCCTGGGCCACGAGTTTGGGAATCTAACATGGATGCAACATGGTACCACATACAGCTTTGTGGCCTTCCTGCAAACTTAGGCAGGGGCATCCCAAGTGTGCAGCGCCACACTCGGGCACACATCCTTGGCACTGTGCCACCACATTTTGTAGTGTTTTATCTTGTCTACACGTGGGGGACCCAGGAGTTTGAGAAATCCAAGGGCAAGAATCCAGCTGCTTATGAAAATGACAAATGGGCTACACATCTGGGTGAGGGTTCCATGGGTCTGAAAGATCCTTCTCTGACAGAAGAGTCTACATTGCTGTGTTGTGTTGAAGACATAATACACTTCTTATGGACTGAAAAAAAAGTCATATTTTTTCATTTTCACAATATCCTATTTGTTACACGTGTCACCCCAGCTCAGGGGAGGAGGGAACTACACAGGGGCCTGAATACCACGTGTAAAGATCATAGCGGGCCGTGTTAGAGGCTGGCCATCACATGTCAAGTGAGAGAGTGCATACAAAGTGCTTAGAACCATGCCTGGCACGTGATGTATCCTCAGTAAACATTAACCATCCCTAACAAGTGTCCTGCTTTGTTCTAGCCATGTAGAGTCTGCATAGCCACTGCTTTCAGTTAGTCATTCAATAAACATTTAACTGAGCAGCTCTGTGTGCCAGGCACTGTTCTAGGAGTGGGGGAGACCATTATGAACAAAACATAGCCCCTGGCCTTCTGTACCTCCCACAAACAACAGAGACAGAATGTCCTGCCAGGTGGTGGTGCTAAGTGCTGTGAAGAAAAACAAAGCCAGTTAAGGAGAGAGGTAAAGCCAGTAAAACAGTCATGGTGGCTCAGATTTGAGCCCTGAGAGAGCCCTCTCAGACCTCTGAGTCCCTCCTGGCATCCCAAGCAGGTGGAACTTATATACCCATTTTATACCTGGGCTGGGGTCTAACAAGCTCAGAGAAGAGCTGAAATGAGCTTGAGTTCCCCAAGGAGTCAGGATTTCTCCAAATACAGAGGTTCTCCAAATGGATGCTCAGTAGCATCACCCAGGGGGCTTGTTAAGATGCACAACCCCACGCAGTCTGACTCACAGGTCAAGAGAGGTCAGGGATCAGCCTTGTAAACAAGCATCCCAGAGGACTGACCAACCACATCTAGACTCTGTTCTTCAGGCTGCAGAGGTGCAGGGCAGGGCTGGCCCAGTCTTACAGAGTCTCCAGGCCCAGCCTCAAAGGCGGGGTGGGGCTTAGCCACACAGAGGGGAGTGGAACAGGCTGGGGCCCAGAGACACCAAGCAATTTGTCCAGGGACACACAGCCTGAAGGGTCAGTTTTGGGTACACAGTGGTCAACTTATTTGATCAAGTATATCTCGTGCTGTCTATTAAAATAAATAAGTAAATAAAAAGCCATAAATTATTTTCAGCTCCTCCCATCAAGACGGAGAATCATTTTTCCCACCTCCTGAATCTGACTGTGTGACATGCTTTGGCCAATGGGACATTTGCTGATGTGACACCGGCATAGTGTGCACATTGGCGTCTGTCCTCTATTATTGCTTTTTTGAAACCCAAGACCACCACATGAGGGGGCCCGGGCTAAGTCTGTTGGAGGCTGAGACCTCATAGAACAGAAGTGAGCTACCCAGCCCAGCCTCCTTAAAGCCTGCTGCTGACAGACTGACGGATGACACACAGCCAGGCATGAGCCTGCCTGCCCTTCTAGCGGGCCCAAACTGCTGACCCCGAGAAGCAGGGACCGCTAAGTTTTGGTGTTTGTAATGCAGCAAAGCCTAGTTACTGGGGGAGAGAAATTTTCTCCCCTCCTTTGGGGCAAATTATACTTAATCATGGTCATTAACCCTAACTGCCCAACAGAAACTCCGAATCACAAAGACCTCACCCAGGTAACTTCATGTCTTGCTCACTAAAAGCCAGTGTGGATCTGGTGGTCCTCCTCCATCTCGTAGCTAAGGAAACCGTGGCCTCACGGTGGCTGTGTTAGGAATGAGAGGGTAGAGGTCCACCAGCTCTCAATGGCCTCAGCCCAGAAGGGATCTCCCACAGAGGGCACTTCTACACACACACCATTGGTCAGAATTAATCACGTGAGTGTAAGGGGGGGCAGGCAGGTAGGGGAGCACCTGGAATATTTGGTGACGCCCACCTTAGCCACAAAGAACTTACTTAACACAGAGGTAATTAGTTTCTTTCTCTCTTTCTTTCTTTAAGATTTTATTTATTTGAGAGAAAGAGAGAGAGCATGAGTGGCGGGACAGAGAGAGAGGGAGAAGCAGGCCCCCTGCCGAGCAGGGAGCCTGACAACGTGGGGCTGGATCCCAGGACCCTGAGATCATGACATGAGCAGAAAGCAGCCCCTTAACCAACTGAGCCACTCAGGCGCCCTGGTAATTAGCTGCTTTTTTTTTTTTTTTTAAGATTTTATTTATTATTTGAGAGAACGAGAATGAGAGAGAGAGAGCACGCACATGAGAGGGGGAAAGGTCAGAGAGAGAAGCAGACTCCCCGCCGAGCAGGGAGCCCGATGTGGGACTCGATCCCGGGACTCCAGGATTATGACCCGAGCCGAAGGCAGTCGCTTAACCAACTGAGCCACCCAGGCGCCCCTGGTAATTAGCTTCTTAATTTGTGTGGTTACCTGTTTAACATCTGGCTTCTCTATTAGACTGAGTCCCTGAGCGGAGGGACCACGTTTGTGTCCATCTGGCACCATGCCTGGCTGTAGCCGTCATTCAAAATAGTGGTTGAATTGCTAAAGCAAATAAATAATTGGGCAGACCACAATATTATCTTTTGTGTTTAGCTCCCAGTTATAGAGAAAAACCCCAATTAAATTTCCTACAGTCCCTCACTTGTAGTAATATATATGTATTACATTTGATATTGTAAAAGTTTTACAATGATCATTATATGAATATAAGTAGACCATGATAGTCCCCACTAATTGCGTCAGGGGTTTGGCCACATGCATTACTTGGTGAGAGTCGGTTCTGTATTTTTCTGTGCCAGTTTTCATGTGGCTGCCTCTGAGATGCCTTGTCAAAAGTTCCTGCTTCGTGGGGTCCCTGGGTGGCTCAGTCATTAAGCCGCTGCCTTCGACTCAGGTCATGATCTCAGGGTCCTGGGATTGAGCCCCGCATCGGGCTCCCTGTTCAATGGGGAGCCTGCTTCTCCCTCTCCCTCTGCCCCTCCACTCACGCTCTCTCTCTCAAATAAATACATAAAATCTTAAAAAAAAAAATTTCTTGCTTCAAGGCAAAACCAGGAAACCAGGTGAGTTTCTCTGTTGTGCGGTGTTGGCCGAGTCTTCTCTCTAAACCACTTTTTTTTTACCTATAAAATGACAAGCGTATTTACCTCCTAGGGTTGCCGTGAGAATTAAACGAGTCCCTCTGTGTAATGTAGATAAAAGGTTAGCACAGTACCCGACACTTGGCACCCCCATTTTAGATGAGTTTGTGTCCCTCCCCCTCACTCCTCTGGTACTGGCGAGGACACGCAGCTTGTGAAGGAACTGGGACTGTTAATTTGTCCACACAAATTGTTCCAACTGTCTGTTGGAAGCCAGGGCGGGGAAGAAGAAAGCTTGGGGCCCTTCCCCAGCAATCCTGGGTACAGAGAGAGGAGGATGACTTGTCCCTATCAGTTAGCTTTTGCTGTGTAACAAAACACCCCAAAACTCAGTGGCTTAAAACAAAGATCCCTTTATTTAGCTCATGATTCTGAGGCAAGGCTTCTGGTCTTGGCCAGCCTGACTGATCGGTGCATTTGCAGACTGATGGCTGGGTGATCTAGAACGGTCGCCCTCACCTGTCTGCCGCCGGCCATAACTTCAACCAGGACACCTCAGTTCTCGTGCTTTCTCCCACTACCTCCTCCCAGAATTTGACTTTGCTCAGGTGACAACCCCTCCCACATGGAGCATGAACCTCAGGGAGGCTGCACCCCCCTGCCGCCTGAGGGTTGGCTTGGTTAATTTGTGTACCCGCATTTCCCTGCTGGTGATTGGTCAGGAAAGGACATGTGACCCAGCCCTGGCCAATGAAATCTGTGGGAAAGTCGGCCAGGAGGGCTTCTGGCAAAGCTTTCCCCATCCCAAGAAAGAGCTCTGGGGGTAAAAGTAACAGCTGACACTTATTGAGGGTTTAAGTGCTTTACAGGAAATAACTCATTCAACTCTCGTGAGGTGGGCACTGTTTCGCTCATTGTACAGATGAGTAAGCTGAGTAGTTAAGACACTTGAGGGTCAGCTAGTGAGTGTGGGAGCCAAGACTTCGTTCCAGGCAGGCTGACTCCAGAGGACTGAGTCCTCTGGTGCTACAGTACCACCCTCCTGCTTCCTCTGGTCACGGATCTCTCTTCTGTTGACACCTGGGACCGCTGTGGCCATTGTGTCAGTCGTCACCAGGGACAACAGAGCAGAGAGAGAATGAGCTCGGGGAGCCAGTCCTTGCTTACAGCTCTGAGAGCTGAACCAACCAGCCCAGAAGCCCGTCCCACCTCTTGACTTCTTGGCTTTGTGTGAAATTTCCTTCTTTTGAAAGCCACTTTGGCCCAGGGTTTCGGTTACTTGCAGCCAAAAAGTACCCTAACAGAGACCCCAGTGCCTCCCGAAGGAACAGACGGCATGCGCAAGAGCCGCTGGGCTGCAGGGAATCTGTTCTCACAAACCACAAGCCTCTGGCCTCGCCATCGGGCAAGGAGAACGCTGGGATGGGGAGGAGTGGACAGAGCACATGTCCGGGGACATTAAAATATCTCATAACTCCTTTATTAGGCAAAAGGTAAAAATACATTCTTATGGCATCCAAAACCCATGGTGTTGATCCAAAACCCAGAATAGGGCTTGAGACTTCCCAGAAGGCCAGGAGGAAGAGCCTGCCTCCTCCAACCTCATCTCTGGTGCTCAGGCCAGCGGAGCACAGCTGTGCACCCTCATTCCAAACCGTCCTTGAGTCAGATGAGGACCAGCCTCATAGTTTGAACTGGAGAGGCTCCAGCCCGAGTCCTTGGCTCGGGCCTGGATGGAGAAGACAGAGCTGCTGGGAGTTCCCAGCACAGCCTGGGCTCTGGAGTCCTGAGTTGTGAGGGGGAGGCCTGGAGGCTTTGGCACAGGGATTTATGAGAGGGACTGTCCAGGGTCAGAAGTGCCGGGGCACCAGCACGAGTGGATGCTGACACCTATACCGGGAGGGCCCCGTGTGGACACACCTGCGGGCATGGAAAAGCGGTGAGCTCTGAGAGCAGGAGATTTGTCTTCTGTTCACTGCTGTGTTCCCGGCACCTAGAACAGGGCTTGGCACACAGTGGACTCCCAAGAAGGATGTGTTAAATGCACAGGCCTGTGTGCCCAGGTATGAGGAACCACACAGGTGTGCATACAGCCCACTCCATACATGCCTCTTCCTTTCTCGCTTCTAGAAGGCACTAAGGTTTGGCTCAGTGCAAAAAAGGCCGGAGAGAGCTTGGAGATACCCCAAACTCAGTCCACTGTTTGCAGCTGAGAGTCTAGGGCTACCTAGCCATATAGACCCGCTTCTGCTTCCCCCTCCTCTTCCTCAGCTTCCTCCAACCCCGGCCCTTCGGGAACCACCTGGTCAGCTGCCCAGAGGTGGCATCGGGATGGAGCTGAGGGGATCGGGTTGTCCCGCAGCCAGGGGTGCAGCAGGATGCCCGTGGCTGTGAGCCGCTCAGCTGGCTCCCGTCGAAGGAGGCAGCGGACCAGGCAGCGGGCAGGAGCCGAGAGGCCCTCAGGCAGGGCAAAGGCACCGCGGCGGATCTTGCCAAAGAGCAGGGCAGGCTCTGAGTCTTGGAAGGGGTAGTGGCCAGCCAGCATGGTGAAGAGCGCCACGCCCAGGCTCCACACATCAGCGGCCTTGCCCGAGTAGGATGCCCTGGAGCTGAGGATCTCCGGTCCCACATAGGCTGGGCACGCGTGTTTGTCCCACAGGGAGTCGTCCGGCCCACTCAGCACACAGGCGTCCTCCAGGTTCTCCAGCACCAGCTTTGTCCTGTGGCAGGGGGACAGACAGAGGGGTCAGCTCCTATGGGGACCCCCATGCCACCACCCTCTACTCTCACCCTTAATGGCACCCATGTCGTGAGCGCCTGCTGGCATCGGGCAGAATTGAGCCAGTCCTGTGAGACTGGTTGGTTGATCGCATTTTACGCACGAGGAGGCCCAGGCTCAGAGACGTTAAGTCATTTCTCAAGGCCACAGAACAACTGGGTTTGAACTAGGACTCTGAGAGGAGCACATTTCCCAACAGTCCCTCGAGGAGGGGCTGAGGGGGCCGAGGGCACTAAGCGTCTCTTAAACCAGGGACAAACTTAGGGTCTAGGCAGGTAATAAAGTGAGAGAAATAGGAAGTGGGGACCATGCCAAACACCTCAGCACAAACACTGTCTAAAAAGGTCACTGCTAACAACATTACAGTCAACATTCTGGAGTGTCCATGGGGTACCTGACCCGGAGCTAAGCTCATTATCTGCTGTATCTCATCTCGTCCTCACACAACCTGTGAGGAAGCCGTCATTTTACAGCCACAGGGTACAGGGCTGGGATGTGAACCCCAACTCTCACCCACCCAGAGCCACTGCTATGAACCCCTCACCATTCCCAATGGCCCCACATTCCCATTTTTCCCCAAGAGAAGCCAGAAACCATATGTTAATGAAAAGTCCCAGTTTTTGAAATGTTGGCAGCCAATTTCAATTAAAAACAAATGAACATGGGGCGCCTGGGTGGTTCAGTCGGTTAAGCATCTGCCATCGGCTCAGGTCATGATCCCAGGGTCCTGGGATCGAGCCCCGCATCGGGCTCCCTGCTCCGCGGGAAGCCTGCTTCTCCCTCTCCCACTCCCCCTGCTTGTGTTCCCTCTCTCGCTCTGTCTCTCTCTGTCAAATAAATAAATAAAATCTTAAGAACAAAAAAAAACAAATGAACATGTACGTGAGACCAAAAAGAAAATGTGTGTGAGGTCCACCATTTGCAACTTCCGCTTTAAACAATTCCCACAGAGCACTCCAGGTTACTTTAATAATAACCTTTCTGTTACCAATGCCATTTTTTTAATTACCACTGCTATTAAAGTTATTCTGTGACACCAGTTCTAGGGTGCCTGCTGGCATTTGAAAAAAATCAAGACCCAGGCAGGTAAAGCCACTGTCAAGGCCAAAGAGCAGGTAAAAAGTAGAACCAAGATTCCAAGCGAGGTCTGTCTCCACCAGCCCTCTTCTACCAACAGTGCTTCTCAAACTATTGCCTTAAAAAGACATGAAGTACTTTCTCACCCTGGGAGGTCTGTGGGTGATGTAACTCATCCTAAGTTCACAATTATTTGAAGCTCTGTATTAACTTAAAAAATCATTATAAAATTTATATTCTACTTCTTACTAAAGAAAGGCATGTTCATTTTAGTATAAAATGTAGAAGGAGAGAAGGAAAGAGAAAATCACCGTTAGGCAAGCATCACAACAGTAACTGCTACAGGCGAGGTGGATGCCCTGTGAAAATCCCTGGGCAAATTTGAGGAGAAACAGTATTTACATGCATGGCCTCGAAGCACCAGCCCAAGGTATGTATGTATGTATGTATGTATGTATGTATTTTTAAAGATTTTATTTTATTTTATTTTATTTTATTTTATTTTATTTTATTTTATTTGACAGAGAGACACAGTGAGAGAGGGAACACAAGCGGGGGGGAGGGAGAGGGAGAAGCAGGCTCCCTGATGTGGGGCTCGATCCCAGGACCCTGGGATCATGACCTGAGCCAAAGGCAGATGCTTAAGGACTGAGCCACCCAGGCACCCCACAATTTTATTTTATTTTTACTTTAGAAAGAGAGAGCATGAGCAGGGAGAGGGGCAGAGGGAGAGGGAGAGAGAGAGAATAAGACACCCCACTGAGCACAGAGCCCAAGGTGCAGGTTCAGTCTCACAACACTGAGATCATGACCTGAGCAGAAATCAAGAGTTGGAGGCTTAACCAACTAAGCCACCCAGGTGCCCCCCCCCCAAGGTATTTATTAATTATAAGGGGTAAATTAGGAACCTTACAGTGGAGAAACTTGGCAGACACCACCTTAACCAAATGACTGAGGTTAACGATCACAGTAACACATATCACCATCATGCATCTTCTGACACAGTGTGCTGAGAAGGACCTATCCCTCTTGTGGTACTCTTTTTTTTTAAGATTTTATTTGTTTATTTATTTATTTATTTGAGAGAGAGAGCACTCATGAGTTGGGGGGAAGGGAGAGGGAGAGGGAATCTCAAGCAGACTTGGCAATGAGCACAGAGCCCCACTTGGGGCTCCACGCACGGCTCCATCTCAAGACCCTGAGATCATGACCCAAGCCAAAACCAAGTGTCAGATGCCCAACTGACTCAGCCACCCAGGCACCCTTCCTGTTGTACGGTACTGTTGCCAAAAATGCATAATCTCGGTCTAAGCATGAGAAAAACATCCATCAAATCCAAGTTGAGAGGCAATATATGAAATAACTGACTGGTACTATCCAAAAGTTGTCAAGGTCAGGACGGTGGCCATGGAAATCAGAATCTGGTAAGGAGTGTGTACAACTCACCTGCTAAATCAACTAGCCCTGAAAAAAAATTTGAAAAAAGAAAAAAAAAACCCAAAATCAAAAAGTGTCAAGGTCAAGGAGGACAAGGAAAGACTAAGGGACTGTTTCAGACTGGAGCAGACTAAGGAGACAGGACAACTGAATGCAGGCTGGGGTCCTGGACTGGATCCTGGACAGAAAATTGGTATTAGTGGGAAGCTAGTGAAATCGGAATCAATCCACGGTTTAGTGAATAGTACTAGACCAAGATTAATTTCTTAGTTTTTTGGGTTTGTTTTTGTTTTTTTGAGAGAGAGAGAGAGAGGGAAAGCGAGCTTGAACTGGGGGTGGGGCAGGGAGAGAGAATCCCAAGCGGACTCCCCACTGAGTGCAGAGCCTGATGCAGGGCTCAATCTCACGACCCTGAGATCATGACCTGAGCGGAAACCAAGAGTTGGTCACTTAGCCAACTGAGCCACCCAGGCTTAGTTTTGATAGTTGTTTCTTAGTTTTGATAGTTGTTCTGTGGCTATGTGAGAAGTTAACATTAAGGCAAGTGGGTGAAGGAGATATGAAAACTCTTTGCACTATTTTCACAACTTTTAGGAAAGTCTAAAAGTATTTCAAAAAGTTTAAAATGGGGACGCCTGGGTGGCTCAGTCGGTTAAGTGTCTGCCTTCCACTCAGGCCATGATCCCAAGGTCCCAGGATCAAGCCCCACATCAGGCTCCTTGCTCAGTGGGGAGTCTGATTCTCCCTCTGCTGCTGCTCCCCCTGCTTGTGCGCTCTCTCTCTCTTTCTCTCTCTCATAAATAAATAAATAAATGAATAAATAAATAAAATCTTTAAAAAAAAAGTTTGAAATGTGAATGGGTGGGGGGGTGCCTGGCTGGCTCAGTTGAAAGAGCATGCGACTCTTGATGTTGGGGTCATGAATTTGAGCCTCATGTTGGGTGCAGAGATCACTTAAAAAAATAAATTAAATAAATTAAAATGTGCCGTGGGGTCGCCCTCCTTCCCCACCCCCCAATCCCACAAAAAATCTTGCAATGTAATCCATGTTCCTGATGGCTGTTCATGTGGACCTCACTGGCTTGCCTGCTCCAGGACACACCCCACTCCTGCTCACCGCCCCCCTCCCCAATCTGGGGTAGGGGAGAGAATGCCGGCTCCCCTCTCCGCTCCCTCCCTCCAACATCACTGATTCTGTTTCACAGAAAACATTCCCATTGAGGAACCTCAGGGCCCGTTGTGGCTTGTTGTCTGTGGCCCTGATATCCTGGAAACATCTTAACCGTCCACTTTTCTCCTTCCAATGGGGAACTGAGGTCCAGAGACCCTGAGTCACCCAGAGTCAGGGGGTAAGCCCAGCCAGGCCTCCCGCCTCTCAAGCTCAGGGTGGATTAGGACCTCTCTGGAGTCACATCTGGGTTCGATTCCCAGCTCTACTATTTATTTAGCTGTGGTATCTTGGGGGTTACTTGACTTTTCTGGGCGGGTCTCCTCACCTGGCCTATGGGAACAAGAAGAGTGCCTACCTCATCTTTGTAAGCATCCGGGCCGAGTCAGAGAGCGCAGCCAAGCTCTTCGTCACTGTCAGCTCTTATGACTGTCACAGAGGCAACGCTCCAGTCCAGGGGCTTTCATTAGCCCCGAGTCAACCTTTTCCCGGGAACCAAGCAGAGGAGCCAGTCCGGGCTTCCCCATTTCTTTGTGTAAGTTACTTTGCCTTCGTGGGCCTCAGTTTCCCCATCAGGGCCCATCTCTTAGGTATGTCTGCGAGGAGGGTCTCTGTGACCACACTCACCTCTCGCGGTCCGTGAAGACAAAGCGCCGCAGCTTGAGATCGCGCAGGACCAGCCCGTGCTGGTGACAGTGCGCCAGGACGGCGGCCATCTGGCGGAAGAGCGCGGCGGCTTCGGGCTCGGGGAGGCGGCGGCGGCGGCGCACCAGGCTGTGCATGTCCCCGTGGGGCCGCGGGAAAAAGGTGTACAGGTGGCGGGGGCCTGCCACGACGTCGGCGGGCCGTGCCACGTGTCCTTGCGGGGGCAGCCGCGAGTAGGGCTCCAGCGCAGCCAGGGCCTCGCGGGCCGGGTACACCTGTGGGCGGGGCTTGGCCTGAGCTCGGGCGCCGCCGGGTGGAGTGGGGAGGGGGGGGGGGGGGGGGGGGCCTTGGGAACAGTCCCCGCCAAGCCTTTGGGCACTGCTGTGCGCTAGGCACTGGGCCGGGCGCTCCAGCAGCAAGCCGCTCCCCCCTCACAAAGCTGAGAGGCCACACAGCCGGGGAGTGGCAGGGCTGAGATCTGAATCCATGCTCCGTTGTCTGCGCTCTCAACTACCTTATATGGCCTTAAACTTCAGATAACTGGGAAATAGTAGGTAATCCAAATGAAAATAAGCCCCAGGGCCCAGGGCCGGGTAAATCCAGAAGAGCAGAGAGCTCGCAGGTCACTTTATGCAGAGCATCGCCAGGCTCATAGCTCCCATTCCCTGGGATTCACTGCCTGCCAACTCCATCCCCCCCCCCCCCCGCCACCCCCCCTTGCCACCCACTCCAGGTGCAGGCACTGCATGGCCCGCGGCGGCTGCCATCCATAGGGATCCAACTTGCCTGACAGCCATGGTCCCTGCCCTCCTGATGCCCACAGTCCAAACCAGCCAAAAACTAAATATTTCCCAATTCTTATAAGTATTGCAAAGGAACCAAGAAAGATGCTGGAATAGAGAATATTTTGGAAGGGGGCACTTAGGTGAAAAGGTGTGGTCTAAAAGGGGTTCTGGGGGGGCACCTGGGTGGCTCAGTCGTTAAGCGTCTGCCTTCGGCTCAGGTCATGATCCCGGGGTCCTGGGATCGAGCCCCGCATCGGGCTCCCTGCTCAGCGGGAAGCCTGCTTCTCCCTCTCCCACTGCTTGTGTTCACTCTCTCACTGTCTCTCTCTCTCTCTCTCTCTCTGTCAAAATAAATAAATAAAATTTAAAAAAAATAAATAAAAGGGGTTCTGGGGAAGTGACCTGAATGATTCCCAGATGCCCATGGGATAAGCTTTCCAGGGGGAGGATATGGGCAGTGCAAAGGCCCTGAGGCAAGAAAGAGCATGAGCTGCTCTAGAAAACCAGCCCCAGATCAGTTCAGCTGGAGTGGGTTAAGAGAGGGAAGAGGGGCAGTGGTAAGAGTGGCGAGGTTGTCAGAAAACGTGCTAGGGGCTTTATGGACTTTAGGTGGGAGCCTCACCACAGCCCTGAAAGGTGTTCTGTTTTTACTGCTGGTGAGACTGATGTTCAGAGATGGAAGGGCACTTGTTGGAGGCCACACAGCCGATCAGAGGCAGAGCGGGGAGACTCACTTAGTTTGTCTGCCTTTAAACCCTTCCCATGTTATATTGGCTCTGCCACACAGAAAATAAACCAATAAAGCATATACATATTTAATTCATGAAAAAAAATGTAAGCATGTCTTAAAACAACAAACAAACACTTGGCTGGCATGGAAGAAAGAATCCAAAAAACAGAGACTCCTTTTTTTTTTTTTTAAGTCAGGGCAAGCACATTCCTGCCTTAGTACATTTGCACTTGACTGCCCTGCTTCCTGGATGCTCTTCCCTAGATACCCACAGGGCTGGCTCCCCCAGCTCACACAAGTCACTGCTCAAATGTCACCTCCTTGGAGAGTTCTTCCTGGACTAAAATCACCTGCTCCCCCACGGTCCCTGTCCCCCTCTCTCCCAGCTCCTAGCTTTCTCTCCAAAGCACTTATGATCACCTGACACAGGATCACCCTTCCCTTGTGCCATATTTTACTTATTCCCTTGTTTACTGCCCATGTCCTCCACTAGAACATCAGCTTGATGAGAACAGAACTCTACCTTGGAACCATAGCATGGTGCATGGCACGTAGGGTGCTCAGTGAAGGTTTATTGAATGAATGAATAGGTGATAATCTATAGACAGAATGCCGATCCTTCTACACACTGACCAGAAAAGACGATGTGGAAATGGCAGGTCAGCCCCACGGCTCATGCTAGCATGAGGATAAGCACGTGCCAGGAGACCGCCCCCCTAAATGTTTCTGAATAACTGGGGCTATGAGAAAGCATGGCGCTTCTGGTTTGAGCCTGCTTTGGTCATGCCACTCAGCAGGGACTCCCCTCCCCAGTAGGAACAGAAGAAAACCTGTAATGTTGCAGGAAAAGGAGCCAGAGTTCAGGGATTCCTTAGAGCACTTGGGTCAGAGCACTGGGGACCTGCAGTGGGCAGCCCAGAGCCCAGGTAAAGCTGGTGGCTGGACCACAGGTCCGCCTCTATCCCCCTGCCCACTGCACCCCCCACCCAGTAGAAGCCAGTTGCCAATGCTCCCGGGTGGAGGCTTAGGTCCACCTGCTTCTCTGTGCATTCCCAAGGGGACCCAGGCCCCCTTCTTCCCGTCCCCTGTGTAGCTGGGTCTCCTGTATCTTTCTTACCCTGCCCACCAGAAGCAAACTGACCTGCTATGTCTGTAACACGTGTCCTAGCATGGGGCCACAGCCCTGGGCTCAGTCTCACCTCTGACACCCCCTGGCTCTGTGACCACAGTTTTATGAGCCTCAGTGTCCTCTATCTGCAAAATGGGCCAATAATAGTAAATACGTCACAGACCAGGTGAAGATTGGAAGAGATTACACACACTAAAGCATCAACATAGTACCTAGTGCACAGTAAATACCTATTATTATAGTTCTTCACCTCTGCCTTTTTAGGATGTGACCCGCCAATGTCCCCTGGGCCTTACCTTGCCCATTTCCTGATTTCTGCCAAGAACCTTGGACTTTGCCCTAGGAGCCAGGCCCGTTACAGTGAGGTTTCGTGCTTGGCCCTTCCTTCTTGGCCTCGGTCTTTCCATCTGTGAAATGGTCACAGGCTAGGCCCAATGACCTCCAGGGTCCCAGGAGTTCTGATGTCTACCCCAGCTCACCCTTCCCTTGTGCAAGTATCTTCAGTGGCTCCCGCAGCCCAGGGCCAGCTCCTTTCTCATGCTTTTACAACCGGTGGCCGCCGGCCCTCCCCTCCTGCCCCTCTCCAGTCTGGCCGTGGTGAAGTCCTTCGAACCCTCTGATGCCTCACACGCTCTTGCTCCTCAGGCCTCTGCACGGTGGCCTCCCCTGCCCGGATCTCCATTCTCCCACTTCTCCCTGGCTAACTCCTGCTCAGCCTTTTCTGACAGCCCCCCCTTGAATACACTGGAGGCTCCTGCTCTGTGCTCCCACAGCCCCTAAGCTCCACCCCTATGGCCTGTATCATACTATGGGCCTAAGCTGAGCATGCCCCAGGGCTGGGCATGTCAGGTTTACCTCTCTGGCCTCAGCCCAGGCCGGGACCTGACAGAGAGCTGGGGGCTCTCTGACTGCTTCCCCAATAAACACAGGAACAAAGTAACCCTAAGGACCCCTCCGCCCTGACAGTCCTCTGGAGCCAAGGCCCTTGCCAGGCCCCTGTGATGCTGGGGGAGAGTGACCCAGGGGACCCACCTTGCAGGTGTACTCCATGCCTGTGGGGCAGTGCAGGGCACGGTAGGCTCGGCCACCTTCCTCAGGCTCCAGGAGGGCGTAGGGCCCAAGCCGGGAGGGAGTGGTCACAGCGAGGGCCTGGGCTGGAGCAGGGGGTGGGATCAGGGGCAGCGGGCAGGGGGGCAGCTGAGGCTGGGGCCCGCTTCGGGCTTGTTTCCGGGTGGGACATTCAGTGTCTAGGTCACTGTCCAACTCCAACCGCTTCCTCCTGGACGGGGCACCCACAGGAGCAGCCAGAAGGGTGGCTCGCATCTACAAAGAAGGGGAAAAAGCACTGAAGGGAGGCTGCTGGGCAGCCCCCCCTTCCCTAGCTGTTATGGAGGGTGACTTGGCAGTGTGCATTAAGCTGACAAATGCACTTACCCTTGACCAGGTGTCCCACTTCTGGAAATTTATCCTCCCATTAAAATGCTCACCAAAGTATTAAACACAGGAAAGGCTGTTTTCAGTAGAGCCTTGTATCTAATAGCAAAAGGCGGGAAACACCACCAAATGGCCATCAGCAGGGGGCTGGTTAAACATCGTGGTACAGCCACACAGCGGACTCCAATACATGGACTGCCTTGGGAGGGAGACCCCACATTGAGCGAAAGGCCATAATCCCAAGGTGGTAAGAATGCAACAGCAGGTGGCTGTAGTCAGGCATTCCTGGGTTCTAATCCTGGCTCACCACTCTTCCTGGCTGGGTAGCGCTGGGCAAATCCTGCAGTCTTCCCCAGCCTCAGTTCCCTCACCTGTAAAGTGGGAGCAGGATGCAAAGCCCATAGGATTTTTACAATGATGAAATGAAAACACAAATAATTTAGAGTGACCTGTTGCAGGGTGGCTGGCAGCAAATGGTCACGGTCCATTGCTACTACTATTATTCATAGCCGAAGGTGCCTCAGTGTTCTTGGGACTATGCCTGGGGTGGCTCTTCCATGGCCACAGCAGCACTCCAGGCTCTGCTTTGGCTGTATCCATTCCTCAGAAGCTGGTAGGGCCTGGGATAAGCTCCATGGGACAGGTGGAGTTACCCTAACTGAGCAAGGGACTTCGCAGGCCACACTGCGGGACTAGAATCTCCACTGTAGGATGGAGGCAGCCCCTCATATCTATTTCTTGCTGTTCCCCGACACCTCGGGGAAGAAGGGCGGGTCATACCAAACACACACTCACAGAACCCAGAGCAGACAGGTGCACACACACCCCTCAAAACCACAGTTTGTCCAAGCCAGCCAGCTGAGACACCACATCGAGGGCAGAGAGGGGCACACACATCATTAAGTGACACACACCTCATCCTCCGTGGGCCAGTGTGTAGGCATACACACACAGAGCCCTCCACCCATCACGCTTCCCACTGCACGACTGATAGCAGGAAGGTCACCGGCACGTCTGACTCGAGCCCCATCCCCCTCGGCCGCCTCGCCCAGCCTTCCCCAGCCCGGCTCCTCCCGTGGGAGCGGAAGCGGCGGCCAGCGGGTGTCCCGAGGCAGAGGATTCAGCGGAAACAGAGCGGTGGGAGGGGCAGAGGCAAGGGAAGGAGGCTGGGCCCCAGGGCTGCGAGACACCTCAGGGTCCGCAGGGACAAAACACACACGCGCACAGTGCAACCTGCGACCCGCAGCCGCAGGGCCAGGTGCACACCTGCGGCGACGCTCCGTGCGCTCCGGGGTCCGGCACCCCGCGCGCCGCATCCTCGCTTCCACTCGCCCTGCGCCCGCCCCCGCCCCCAGGACACCCCAGCCCCGGCCCCAGCCGTGTCCCCCGCTCGGCCGACACCTGCCACCAGGTACGCAGCCCTCCCCACAGCTCGCAGGGTCCGCCGAGACACATTCCCCCCCAACCCCGCAGGCTCACGCGGACCCTCAGGCTCACCCTACAGCGACACAGACCCTACACAGAGTCCCCGGCGCCCCCCCCCCACAGGCCCCCCCCACACACGCCCCCCCCCCCCCCCCCCCACCTCTCTCCCCGCCCCCCCCCCCCCCCCCCGGCCCCCCCCCCCCCCTGCGGGGGGGCCCCCCCCCCCCCCCCCCCCCCCCGCGCCCGCTCGCGGCCCCGGCCCCTCTCGGGCCCCGCTGGGTACCTTGCCCGGGTGTGCGGCAGGGGTCCTGAGTCGCCGGGGCATTCCTACGTGGCCGTTGGCCCACTGCGACTTGACCGAGCTCGGGACCCCGACCCCCCGCAGCCGGACACGTGTGGAGCCGCTGGAGCTTCCGCTGCGAGTGTCTCCCGGCGCCAGCCCGGGCCCGGGTGATGCAAACCTGCGCTAATCGGCCGCGGCCTGCGCTCGGGCCCGGGATTGCACCATCCTCCGGGCTCCGCCCCTGGGGTCACCGCCCCGGCGCGCCCCGCCCCGCCCCCCTCGCCTCACCCGACCTCCAGGGGTGCCTGAGCTCCACCTCCTCCCCCACCTGCCCCGCGCACACACCCTCTCCTGGGTCTCCCTATCACCTTGGAAAGAGCACTTTACTTTTCTGGGCCTCAGTTTCGCCGTATGTGAAATGGGGAGAACATCCTCCCCTTTCAGGATGCAGAGGAGAAAGAGAGCAAACCGTGACGGTTTCCGGGTGCTTTCCTGTTTATAAAGAACCTTCCCACCATTGCTTTATTAACTTTAGGAAGACCCTCGGCAATCAGAAAGCTCCGCTCACCCCATCCTACTAAGGGGTAACCTGAGGCCCAGCGCTGGGAAAGCAGCCTGGGAGCTCTGCAAAGACTGCAGACTTAGGAGCTGACTCCGGACTCAGAAGAGCTAGTGTGGTCCCCTGGGGATGCCTGAGGTCGGGCAGGCTTCACAGCGTTCACTGGATAGAGGCAGTGCAGCCTCATGGTTAAGAGCCAGTGCCTAAACCAGCCTGCCTAAGAGTGCACCCCCCACCTTTGCACAGACGCACTGTGCAACTTCAGGAAACCCTGAGGGTTCCTTCAAACCCTGCCGGGACTGAAGTTCCTCCTCTGTAAAATGGGCTTATAGGAGTCTCACTTCATAAGATGTTTGCTGGGACAAAATAATTAGAACTATGTGGCACGTCCTAAGTGCTTGATAAATAGAATGGAGGCTCAGAGAGGGGAAGGCACCCATAACAGGATTTGCACCCCAAGCCTAGGAGGCCCTGGGGCCACTTGTTGTTTGGTGAAGCATCACTGTACGGCCTAGGGGTCCAGCACCTTTCTGGAAAATCCCTTTTAGGTCTTGATGTCTGACTGCGCCAGGGTCAAAAAATAACTCCTCCAGGCAGAGGTTGGATGAATCGTGGGTGGAGTTACCTTTGTTTCTCAGGTTCCAGAACCCCAGGGAGCAGCTCACTTGTGTCTCAGGAACTTCAGGGCTCATCAGGGTCTTCTGGGATCTCATTTAACCCTGGAGACTTCCCTGCCAGGGAGGGACTAATGAACTCATTTTCTACACCAGGACATCTAGACTCAAGTGGAAAATCCCACAGCAGTTAGGGACAAAGAAAGGTGGGTTTGGTTGTTTTCTGAGCTTCTCCATGAAGCCAGCACGGTGCTGGGTTTGCTCAGACATCCCTAGCTTTGTCCAGGCTGTGTCAGACCCAGATCTAAATGCTGGGGGCTCAACAGTGACAAGATTAACCCATCCCTGCCCTCACAGATCTCATAAATCTGTGGGAAGACAGACCATTAGCAAGAAAATAAAATCAATAACCAAGATCATTTAAAATTTATGTCATGTATTTTCTTGAATAAAGAAATAGGATAGATTTGTCCTCTATCAGATATGAATGAGGGGTGTCTATTTTCATGAGGGTTCATCAGGAAGGTGATGTTTTTTTGTTTGTTTGTTTGTTAATTTTTTATTGTTATGTTAATCACCATACATTACATCATTAGTTTTGGATGTAGTGTTCCATGATTCATTGTTTGTGCATAACACCCAGTGCTCCATGCAGAATGTGCCCTCTTTAATACCCATCACCAGGCTAACCCATCCCCCCACCCCCCTCCCCTCTAGAACCCTCAGTTTGTTTTTCAGAGTCCATCGTCTCTCATGGTTCGTCTCCCCCTCCGACTTACTCCCCTTCATTCTTCCCCTCCTGCTATCTTCTTCTTTTACTTTTTTCTTAAAATATGTTGTGTTATTTGTTTCAGAAGTACAGATCTGTGATTCAACAGTCTTGCACAATTCACAGCGCTCAACATAGCACATACCCTCCCCAATGTCTATCACCCAGCCACCCCATCCCTCCCACCCCCGACCACTCCAGCAACCCTCAGTTTGTTTCCTGAGATTAAGAATTCCTCATATCAGTGAGGTCATATGATACATGTCTTTCTCTGATTGACTTATTTCACTCAGCATAACACCCTCCAGTTCCATCCACGTCGTTGCAAATGGCAAGATCTCATTCCTTTTGATGGCTGCATAATATTCCATTGTGTATATATACCACATCTTCTTTATCCATTCATCTGTCGATGGACATCTTGGCTCTTTCCACAGTTTGGCTATTGTGGACATTGCTGCTATAAACATTGGGGTGCACGTACCAGGAAGGTGATGTTTAAACTAAGATCTTAAGGAAGAGATGGGTGAGAAGTGCAAAGATCTGAGGGGACACAGAAAAAGTAAGTGCAAAGGCTCCAAGGCACTTAAGGAACCAGGAGATAGGCACTATGGCCTCTATTCTACAGATGAGTGAAAGTAAGGGGCTTACCCAAGAGCACCCAGCTTGTAGTATGAAGCAGATTTGAGATTTGCTGGGGCAGCTAACTCCGGTGGCCACACTGTCCAGGGACATTTAGCAACCTTTGCAACCCAGCTGCCTTCACCTGGACTGGTGGATATGGCTTCTGGAACTGTACCCAGGGCATGGCCCCCCAGGTTTGGGGGTGGGCATTGTCACAGTTGAGGGTGTCAAATCCCAGTTCTCTAGATCAAAAGAACATAAAATATAAGCCACACTTGTAGTTTCAAATTTTCTAGTCATGCATTAAAGAGGAACAAAAAGAAATTGATTTTTTTAAAAGATGTATTTATTTATTTGAGAGAAAGACAGCATGCGTGCACATGAGGGGGGGGAGGGGCAGAGGGAGAAGGAGAAAGAGAATCTCAAGCTGACTCCCCGATAAGCGTGGAGCCCGACAGGGGACTCGATCTCACAACCCTTAGGTCATGACCTGATCTGAAATCAAGAATCAGACACTCAACCAACTGAGCTACCCAGGCGTCCCTGGGTGAAATTAATTTTAATAATATATTCTATTTAAGTCAATATATCTAGCATACTATCATTTCAACAAATAATAAAAAATTATTAATGAGATAATCTAATTTTTTTTCTTACTGATTTTTCAAAATCTGGTATTTTATACTGAGTTCAGAAAGAAATCAGCATGGGAGCTAAATTGTCAGTGCTTAAAGTGAAATGTTATTCTACCAAAACAATTAAATTATGTTTAATGGACAAAAGGCTTCATCTGCATTAAAATTAAAAGTTCAATCACATGAAAAAATTCAGTTTCTTAGTCAAACTAGCCATATTTTAAATGCTCTGTAACTTTATGTAGTAAATGGTTACCAAATTGAGTAGCACAGCCCTAGACCAAGATTTCCCAGCACATGATCCCGGGAGTGTAGCAAAGAAGTGAAGGGCCTGTTGGGTTTATAGCATAGATGCTAAATAATCTTGAGCTTCAGTTTTATGCATCTATAAAATGGGATTAATTATACCCCTCCTTGCATTGTCGTCCTAAGGATTAAATGCATTAAGGTATCCTCGAGTCAGATCACATTTCATGGGTTCAGATCTTACCACTTCCAAGTGATGAAATTTCAGGTAAATTCCTTAAGCTCTCTGTGCCTCAGTTTCCTCATCTGTAAAATGGAGATAATAATAGTACCTAGTTCATTGGGTTGTGAGGATCCAATGACTTAATATTTGTGAAGTGCCTGGAATATAAATGCTATATAAATATGTATTAAAAAGTAAGAAAATAGGGGCGCCTGGGTGGCTCAGTTGGTTAAGCGACTGCCTTCGGCTCAGGTCATGATCCTGGAGTCCCGGGATCGAGTCCCACATCGGGGTCCCTGCTCAGCAGGGAGTCTGCTTCTCCCTCTGACCCTCTTCCCTCTCATGTGCTCTCTCTCATTCTCGCTCTCTCAAATAAATAAATAAATAAATAAAAATCTAAAGAAAAAAAGTAAGAAAATAAATGGTGACCAACTCCCCTCCCCAATAAAGTTCACTTTCCTAGAGAGAGAATTTGGCTTTCATGAATTTCCTTCTCTCCAGGCTTAGACATTGCACTACCCTGGTTTCTGAGCCAAGCAGGCTACATGTCTATTTGCTGTAGTTCTGCTGGTTCTCAGCACTGGGAACTGGGGGGAGGAACTCAGGCTGTGCTCCGAGAGAGGAGAGGCATGGGGGTCCAAGGACCCATGACAACAGCTGCTTGCCTCCTTCCTTTCTACGTGGCCTGGCCAGTGTTTCCCACATGCCCGAGAATCCACGACTGGTGTCCTTTATCTTTATAACTTCTCCCCCACAGAAGTCAAACAATGCCTTGGAAAGAATTGTGCTTGGATTCCAGGTCTGGCTAAAACCATGGGTCTGTGAGATGGTGGGCGGGTCATCTCCCCTTTGGGAGCCCTGCTGTTCTTCCCTGTAAAAGGAAGGAAGAGTTGGATTAAGTCAGTGTTTTCCAAAATATAAAATGTACACCAATGGTAGGATGCCAGGTAGTTTTAGGGTCTCCAGACTATTAAATAACATTGAATCAGATCGTGATACAGGTATTTCCTTTTGATTTTCTTCCTGTTCCTCCAGTTACTAGGGAGAAAGTCTCATTTAACAGCTTCTATGTCTTTTTTTTTTTTTAAGATTTTTTATTTATTTATTTGACAGAGAGAGACACAGCAAGAGAGGGAACACAAGCAGGGGGAGCGGGAGAGGGAGAAGCAGGCCTCCTGCCAAACAGGGAGCCCGATGCGGAGCCTGATCCCAGGAGCCTGGGATCATGACCTGAGCCGAAGGCAGACGCTTAATGACTGAGCCACCCAGGTGCCCCCCTCTTTTTTTTTTAATGTATTTATTTATTTGAGGGGGGGAGGAGGGGCAGAGGGAGAGGGAGAGGGAGAGAGAGTCCCAAGCAGTCTCCATGGTGAGCCTGGAGCCTGATGCAAGGCTTGATCTCACAACCCTGAGATCAGGACCCTGAGATCACCCCCCGAGCTGAAACCAAGGGGTGCCTAATCCAGGCACCCCAGCTTCTATGTCATTAACACC